ATCAAGGTGAAATGCTAAATATGACTTAGTAGCACAGTTGTTACCAGTAGTGCTGCACAGTGTGGTTTGGTTAACACAATACCTTCTAAACATCAAGATGAACATGCTAAATATGACTTAGCAGTACACTTGTTACCAGTAGTGGTGCACGGTGTGGTTAACAATACCTTCTAAACATCAAGGTGAACATGCTAAACATGACTTAGTAGCACACTTGTTACCAGTAGTGCTGCAGTGTGGTTAACACAATACCTTCTAAATATAAAGATGAACATGCTAAATATGACTTAGTAGTACAGTTGTTTCCAGTAGTGCTGCACAGTGTGGTTAACAATGCCTTCTAAACATCAAGGTGAAAATGCTAAATATGACTTAGTAGCACAGTTCTTACCAGTAGTGCTGCACAGTGTGGTTAGGAAAAAACTAAATGTTGATGGTGTTGATAACATGAATATGGTGCTATGATATCTAAGCTATGCTAATGTGATGAGACTTATGCTATTATGATTATCGATATGCTACTATAATGACAGCCATGCCACTGTGACAGTAGCTATGGTACTATAATGATAGCTACACTACTATAATGACAGCTATATTACTGTGACGATAGCTATGGTACTATAATGACAGCAACACTATTTTAATGACAGCCATGCCACTGTGACGATAGCTATGGTACTATAATGACAGCTACACTACTATAATGACAGCTATATTACTGTGACGATAGCTGTGGTACTATAATGACAGCAACACTATTTTAATGATAGCCATGCCACTGTGACGATAGCTATGATACTATAATGACAGCTACACTACAAATAATGACAGCTACACTACAATAATGACAGCTATGCCACTGTGACAATAGCTATGGTACTATAATGACAGCTACACTACAATAATGACAGCTACCCTACTATAATGACAGCTATATTACTGCGACAATAGCTATGGTACTATAATGACAGCTATATTACTGTGATGATAGCTATATTACTGTGACGATAGCTATGGTACTATAATAACAGCTACACTACAATAATGACAGCCATGCCACTGTGACGATAGCTATGGTACTATAATAACAGCTACACTACTATAATGACAGCCATGCCACTGTGATGATAGCTGTGGTACTATAATGACAGCTACACTACAATAATGACAGCCATGCCACTGTGACGATAGCTATGGTACTATAATGACAGCTACACCACAATAATGACAGCTACACTACTATAATGACAGCCATATTACTGCACCAATAGCTATGGTACTATAATGACAGCTATATTACTGTGATGATAGATATATTACTGTGATGATAGCTGTGCTGTTACAATGATAGCTATGCTACTGGGATGAATTTAAAAAAAGACCCAAAACTCAAGCATTTTCAAATAATTGACTGTTCTTGTTCAGGAGAATAAAAAGTGATGATTGGTGCAATGTAATAAAATAACAAACAACAGGTGATGGTAATGAAATAAAATGGTAATGTAAAGCAATATATGGGAAATAATACCAATATTGTAATACTAACAGTAAAAAAATATATCATACATTTTTAACTAACTGTGAAGTTTTCTTTCAGAATTTTTTAAGAGGTGCATGAAGGTCAACAATCCCATGATCAAGATTGATGCCATTTGGCATTTCAATATTTAACAGTTCTATCCATTAAGCTACTTTAATTTCCTTGTTTCTGTTTCATGTAAAATTTGTCTATATCTATCAGTTTAATGTCTACAAGAAAGTGGTCAGGTGTGTTTAAATATTTTGTGAATGGAAGTTATTTGTTTATTTCAATTGAAGATTTGTGGTTATTAAATTCAGAGGCAAACTGAGGTTCAGAAGAGCCTGGAGCTAAATCTTTCTACCAGGCCCATTATGATCGAAACTAGACTAAGGTTAAAAAAAAAAACTGAGATTGTGACAGATCTTTCTACAGGGCCATCATCTAGAATGTATCTAAAGATTATTGTTAGTTGATCTGTGTAGGATATGTCTGAAGTAGAATCAACAGACACCGAGTAATACTTAGATGTTTTGATTTCTGAATAACTGCAGTGACAACTTTTTTGTATAGGATTTCTATGAATTTGTAACAAACAGTTGAGTATAAATATGAAACATGACCTTTTCCTATATTTATACATTTTTGAATGTGTTCAGCAAGAAATATATCAAAGTCAATAGCTTCAGTATTCCTATATAATTGGTCATTTTGACCAACCATGTAATCACTATAAAAAATACGATATAAATCTAAATTGCCCTTTTTTTCTTTCTGGAATGACTTCAAATTGTAACATGAAACTACATTTGTTTATCTTAAATAGCTTAAAACTCATAATAGTATACTTCTGTTTTTACTTAAATTTTATTGCCCTTTGAACCAGTGCTAACTAATAATCCCATCAAACAAGTTGTAAATCATTTGGCGAAAGTATAGCTCACAGATTAATCAAAAGCTACTCGTGAGTGTATCACAAGAAATTTTTTTTTTATTCTACTTAATCTAACCTAAAAAGTTTTTAGTTTTCACATGTTAGTTACCTTTATAATAATAAATAAAGATTACACATGAAAAACAAGAAATATATTACTTACCTGAGTCGTCATTTTTTTTTTGCTGTTAACTGTCAATGAAACTTAACCCTACTTTTCTATACTAATGGTACTACTGCAATAAATAACTTTTCATATAATTAATAATGCACCAAAGAACACAGCATAATAATATATAAACTATCATAATTTTTCTGGCTTTCTAACTATGTGATAAGAGTCATTAAAAATTTAGCTAAGCTCATCAATGTGTTTCCCGTGAGAATAAAGTTTGAATAGGAGGTGAAATAAATAATTTTATGTACAGAAACTAACACAATATAACATACCATTCGATAGATTAAAACTCTGGCTTTCTATTTCATAATAATATAGTATCAAGTTTGAGAGAGAACTATTGGTAATTTGTGAAGGAGTGGATGTAAAAGGTGGGCGTAACAAGAGGGGTTTGATTTTCTATTTTATGGCTTCTTAATTAAGCAAATAAGATTGAAGGCTATGAAAATTATACTTTGCCTGAGCGATAACAATATTATAATGAGCAATTTACCTTAAATTCCATACTTTTTGAAGGGGTGGTGAATAAATTAAATAAGAGAAGATACCTAGAGAGCGAATGCCACAATTCTTACACTAGGGGAAACTGAGGATTTTTTTTAAATGTTTTCTTAGAAAATTAAGAATTTAGAACTGAAATAGTATTAAAATTTGGATTGTTTGCTATATTTTTACGCCATGTTTATTTGTATTACCATGATAATAAAGTAGTATAATTAAATTTTGAATGTCACTCGGTGACACCTTGTGACATGAGCAAAAAAAGGATGCTTGTATGGAAAGAGTTAATGATGCTTATCAAGTTACCATTGAACTATTTACAGCTGATAAGTGGACCAATGTAGGCCCACAAATAACTATGGGTTTTTTACGGGATAACAATTTGCAAATTCAGTAAAATAAACACAGACAATTGATACAATATATCCTAAATTACCGTTACTTACCTTCTTAGTGATGATTGGACTTTTTCTTAAACAAAATCTGAAGCCTTTGAGGATGAAGAATCAAAAGGTACAGATGTCTTCAATCCAGCCTAGCAACTTAGATCTAGTTACATTTTTGACCTACAGCGTGATCACAAGATAAGAAATGGCACGAGTGCAAGCTGCAAGGGAAGACATTTTGATTGGCTGAGGCCTATCATTCAATTAGCTTAACTAGGTCTAGCCTCATTTTGACCTAGTACATTTGTGTTGCAAACTGTATGCAAGTGTGCTAGGTCACAGCAGGATTACACCTAGTCACACTATTCAAATCTCTGCACTCTAGATTACATGATAGGCCTACCAAAATCTCATACACTTTTTCTCTCTCTCTCTTAAAAAATAAGTAGACTTGGTTGAATGACTTTTATCAAGCATTTTCCTAAAAAAAAGATGAGGATGGTTTTTCTTTTTCTTATAAAGGGCCTTTCTTGAGCCCAAGTATGGGGCTACAGCCCCAATGGCCCCACTTTAATCTGCCTCTGATTAAACCATTCCATTTTGGTTTGACCTACATACTGGGAGTTATATTTTTAACATTTTGATGATAACTATGCTACTGTGATGAAAGCTATACTACTATAATGATAGTGCTACTGTGATGACAGCTATATTACTATAACGATAGTGCTACTGTGATGACAGCTATACTACTATAACGATAGTACTACTGTGATGACAGCTATACTACTATAACGATAGTACTACTGTGATGACAGCTATACTACTATACCGATAGTGCTACTGTGATGACAGCTATACTACTATAACGATAGTGCTACTTTGATGAAATCGATAATACTATAACGATAGTGCTACTGTAATGACAGTTATACTACTATAACAACTGTGATGACAGCTATGCTACTATAACGATAGTGCTACTGTGATGACAATTATACTACTATAACGATAGTGCTACTGTGATGACAATTATACTACTATAACGATAGTGCTACTGTGATGACAATTATACTACTATAACGATAGTGCTACTGTGATGACAGCTATACTACTATAACGATAGTGCTACTGTGATGACAATTATACTACTATAACGATAGTGCTATGTGATGACAATTATACTACTATAACGATAGTGCTACTGTGATGACAGCTATACTACTATAACGATAGTGCTACTGTGATGACAATTATACTACTATAACGATAGTGCTACTGTGATGACTGATATGCTGCTTGATGACAGCTATACTACTATAACGATAGTGCTACTGTGATGACAGCTATACTACTATAACAATAGTGCTACTGTGATGACAGCTATGCTACTGTTCATTTACTGTTGCACCAGAGAACACTCCCATCAGAATCATTATTAAATATTATTCTAAAAACACACAGAACAATCCAAGTTCAATATTATTTCTTAATAGGTCATAACATAGGATTTAGCCAGCATTATATTTTCTTTAAAATTTATACAAAACTAAAACATTCATTATTTTAGCTTGAAAAATAATAAGTTATAAATTTAATACTTCTCTGTTGCACACTTTGTTACTTCAATTTTCTTGTTCACTTGCAATTAAATCCTGAGAGCCTTCAAATCCCTTTAATCCCTCATTTGGTAATCCCCATATTAAAATTGCAAAAATTTAAACTTTGTGCACTATCTTCAACTAACTTTCATGTCAATTAGTTCTGAGGGCTCCCAAAACACCTGTAACCCCGAAATGGGGACTTAAATTTAAGAACGATTGTTTATAATGGTTTCTTACACTTACACACTAATTTTCAATTAAATCACTTTACTCAATGCTGAGAATTCCAAAACAACCTTGATCTCTACTTTTGGTATAAGTATTTTTGTATGAGCTTTAAAACAGCTTTACATATTCCTAACAACATTTCATTTAACTATTATTTTGTTAAGTTCTCTTAGAGCTTATCTATGTAATCCCTACTTGGTTAGTAAGAAAACAATGTCATAGAATGATTAAGAAATTCAGTGTTTAAAAATGCACAATAATGTATATAGTTAAAAGTAAAATATACAATTAAAATTCTACATGTTTCGGTAGAAATGTCTTCTTTTTCATCGTTTGTCCATAGAGCTGTTAAGGTCTCTTTATATAATGAAGTTCTTATGTTTGAATGGAATTATTTAAAATGTATAGCTATCGATAGAGGCTATTAATCATATATTATAAACAGGATTTGTAAAAAATGCTAATAAAATACAAATTTCAGAATATACCAAACTACAGATAATAAGTAAGGTTTATACAGAAAGAATACGTTTGCCATATATATATATATGTGCATATTTGATTGTATAAAAATTAAAGTTCCTGTGTTTCTTCTGGTCTCCTGAAGGAGGTGGAATTTTTTCTACTCAAACATGTAGAGTTTTAATTGTATATTTTACTTTTAACTGTACACATTATTGTGCATTTTTAAACATTGAACTTCTTAATCATTCTGTGATACCTATGTACAAGAATGGTCATATAATATATTGAAGAAAACAATGTACTTATTGTTTTAATTATTTTCAAAACTTCAGCACCACTGAATGAAGTTTATCACACCCATCTTCAGCTGATGCTAATCATATATCTTGATGAAAAATTTGATGGATGCCAATTTCTAAAACAATTTTACACTGAATAACTACATATAAAGCAAAGAACAATTGTTTACATTTTGTACACTGCAACTATACCTGACAAAAGTGATAAACATTGACACCAAAGCTAGCTGCACTAGTCAGTAGATTCTGAACTGTACCCCTGTGTTGTCTGAATGTGTTGGAAACTTTCCAAACAGGATTCTGTTGCCACAGTTGATATAGAATTAAGGCAAGATAAAACCGATGTGCTACTTGTTGGTTGACATCCTATACAAGTTTACAAAAACAAAAAACATTACAAACAATAGTAAAAATCTTTACCAGCAAACTCACATGCACTTAAAACAATCAGCAGGCTTAAAAGTCTATTATAAGTAGACACTGCTGTGTCTTCCTAATGGTAGTAGCTCAGAGCATCACCTGTGTAAAGTATCACATATCAATACTTATATACAAGACATGACCTTTTTTCAAGTCTAGAATACGTTTATATCAACATAAATTCTTTATTCAACTCTTCTGCTATGGTTATAGATAAACAACTCTTCCACAACATGTTTCAAAATATTGCATTATTTACCAGAAAATTGAAACTAGCAAGCTTTAAGGAAGCATTAATGAGAATCCCCTTTCTTCTTGGTGGTAAAAAATTCCAAGTTCACAAGTAGTTTATATCACACTTTTCAGGGCTAAAGGTTATACAGTGTGTACCATGTATATGCCCATAGCAATGAAAGAAACAAACAAAAAATTATATCTCTCTGGGTGGTTTTCAGTTAGGCAATCATGCTGCACAGACACCTTGTATCTTGTAATCCCCAAAACACTACCATGAAGAACACTTTATCTTCTGGTAATCCCACAAAACACCATCATGGGAACACTTAAACTCTTTGAAACTTTTAAATATCTTTTCTTGACAGTAAGTCTGTTCTTTTGATTTTGGCTACTCACCACAGATTCCTAAAAGGGACACACTACACTGTCAACACATTAAGGACAGTGTAGCAACAGCAGAGGTTCACATGGACAATAGTGCTGGACAATGTCAATAAAATGGCAGTGATTTCACATACCATTCAACCAACAGCATATTTTCCTCCAAATGCATGGGTGGATAACTGTACAAAAAGAATGTTCCCTGGGAATCCACATGGAGAGGCCAAAGCTTGTTAAATACTATTCAAAATCTACATAACTGCTTTATTGTACTATTTATATAATTCATTCTCTGATATGAATTAAACTTGAGTTTAAACACATGTACTACATGCAGTTCGCTATATATAAATCAAAAACATATTGTGGATTAAGTCAAATTTTCTTCATGTTATTCTTTAGGTATTAAATTTTTGTTAGTAATGAAATCTGGAAATGTTCTACAACATGCATCATACATCAACTGACCTTTACGGTTCTTCCACTAGCCAGCCGTACAATGTACGACTCAGAAACACCAATATGTTCAGCAATATCTTGTTCATCTGGGTGAAGGGCCATATACTTTAAAGATAAAAAACAATATCAGGGTAACTGTTATATAACAATTCAAAAATAATTCAAAACAATATTTTCCATTTTGTTGAGTATCAATGACAACTTTAAATAAATAATAACACTGTTGGCTCTCAATGAAACTCACTGTCTAGTCTCACAATAGTAAGTAGGAAAAAAAGCCAAAACATACAACATGTTTACTCTTGGTGCCAGCATAAACATTACAGCCTGTCTATGCTGTAAAGCTCTGTAGACACCTTAAAGTTAAATACAACACTGAAACTATACCAAAACATATTTTTCCATTTTGTTGTGTATCAGTGACAACTTTAAATAAATAATAACACTGTTGGCTCTCAATGAAACTTGCTGTCTTGTCTCACAACAGTAAGTAGGAAAAAAAAAGCCAAAACATACAACATGTTTACTCTTGGTGCCAGCATAAACATTACAGCCTGTCTATGCTGTAAAGCTCTGTAGACACCTTAAAGTTAAATACAACACTGAAACTATACCAAAACATATTTTTCAACTTATTGTTTATTTACTGTATTTTAATATTTACATGCTTATAGTTCAGTAACTAACCTTGACTTGTTTTTACTAATATTACTAACATGTACAACTACCAAGTTATGAGGTAATTGTTACTAGCTCTAGACAGAGAGTACATATTAAATGTTCAAGGTGTCAGCTGACAATGTATATAGTTATTCAGCTGTAAATTTGATGTAGTCTAACAGCTGAGTTTTCAACAAAATAAAGGGGCAGTTAGCTCAAATTTTAGAAAACCTGAGATTCTTCCAACAGGTGGCTACAAAAGGTAACAAGTCAGAGACTAGTTCTTCATAATGACTTACCACTGTGAAGTAAACATCTGGCTCAACCCTGATAACATCTAGAAAATCCCATGGAGTTACAAGATACAACAGATGAAGATGTGAACTGAGTGCAATGGACTTCCTTGCTAAATACAGATCTTTATACAACTGACCAGCTAGTTGTAAGTCAATACCTCCTATAAAAATAATTTAATGGTGAAAAATAAACCATTTAAATTACTTAGTACTTTAAAATATAAATAATATTCTTAAACTGTTAGTTTCTCTCACTAAAGGCACACCAATAGGCTACTTTATTCATCAAGAAATTACCCTATTACATCTGTCACTAAATTAATATCACTAGCTACATTATTCATTTAGAGAAAACCCCATTACATCTGTCACTAAATTAATATCACTAGCTACATTATTCATTTAGAGAAAACCCCATTACATCTGTCACTAAATTAATATCGCTAGCTACATTATTCATTTAGAGAAAACCCATTACATCTGTCAATAAATTAATATCACTAGCTATGTTATTCATTTAGAGAAAACCCCATTACATCTCTCATTAAATTAAAATCACTAGCTACTTTATTCATCTAAAGACCCCATTAAATATCTCACTAAATGCATAACACTAACTACTTTATTCACATAGACAAGACTTCATTACATCTGTCACTAAATTAACATCACTAGCTATGTTATTCATCTAGAGAAGACCCCATCACATCTGTCACTAAATTAACATCACTAGCTACTTTATTCATCTAAAGGTCCATTAAATCTCTCACTAAATGCATAACACTAACTACTTTATTCACATAGACAAGACTTCATTACATCTGTCACTAAATTAACATCACTAGCTACTTTATTCATCTTGAGAAGACCCCCATAACATCTCTCACTACATTAATATCACTAGCTATGTTATTCATCAAGAGAAGACACCATTACATCTCTCACTAAATTAATATCACTAGCTACTTCATTCACCTAGAAAAGACCCAATTATATCTGTCACTAAAGTAGCATCACTAGCTACATTATTCACCTAGAGAAGACCTCATTGCATCTCTCACTAAATTAACATCAATACTACTTTATTCACCTAGAGAAGACCCTATTAAATCTCTCACTAGAGGCACACCACTAGGCTACTATATTCATCAAGAGAAGACCCCATTATATCTGTCACTAAAGTAGCATCACTAGCTACATTATTCACCTAGAGAAGACCCCCATAACATCTCTCACTACATTAACATCACTAACTACTTTATTCACCTAGAGAAGACCCTATTAAATCTCTCACTAGAGGCACACTACTAGGCTACTTTGTTCATCTACAAAATACCCTGTTACCAGGTCTTGAAACTTGCTTTTTCAGCCACTGGCAAAAATGCCAGCCATGCTAGCAAAAGAAAAAAAAAAGGGGGGGGGCAACTATTATAACAGGAACAACATTACTATTTATTACAACAACATTTGCATATTGCGCTGACCCACCTTCCACATTTTTTAAAAGATTGTGTTCCTCTCCTAAAATATTTATTTTAAGTATGGTCTCCGGAGTTATTGATGAGACAACTTCCACCTGTTGACTATTGTTTTGAATTGCAACATTCCTCTTTCTTCAGTGCTGGCTTATACATTGCCACACAGACAAAGGATGATCGGCAGCAAATGGATAGCCAGTCTGCATGATGTGTGTGTGTTTCACCTCCGTCCCCTTACCTAAGAGAGCCTGAATGTCATAGTCACAATTCTGTGAAATTGTGATGAAGTGAGCAGTGAAATTATGAACTTTACTATACCAAAAAGATGAAGATTTTAGTCAGCCATGTTTGTTGTTGAAAAATTTATCTCTAATGCATTTGTCCAAGTACCTTTGATGGTTAACAATGATGCCATCTGTTATATCTGCTTTACTTTTACATTGTTTAGTGAGTATCCCTTTTGACACACCAAATAAACATTCCAACCAGGTAAAAACTGTTGGCAAAGCACAATTTTACCCTTTATTTTATATGCCATTTAATAACTCACCAACATTCCAACCAGGTCATTCCAACCAGGTAAAAACTATTGGTAAAGCACAATTTTACCCTTTATTTTATACGTCATTTAATAACTCACCAACATTCCAACCAGGTAAAAACTATTGGTAAAGCACAATTTTACCCTTTATTTTATACGTCATTTAATAACTCACCAACATTCCAACCAGGTAAAAACTATTGGTAAAGCACAATTTTACCCTTTATTTTATACATCATTTAATAACTCACCAACATTCCAACCAGATAAAATCTATTGGTAAAGCACAATTTTACCCTTTATTTTATACATCATTTAATAACTCACCAACATTCCAACCAGGTAAAAACTGTTGGTAAAGCCAAATATTACTCTTTATTTTATACGTCATTTAATAACTCACCAACATTCTAACTAGGTAAAAATCGTATGTTTCACAGTAATGTTAAGCAAGTTTATAGATTTATGCCCATTTTACATTAAATCATGGATAACATTTAAGGCTAAGACATATTAAATATCAAAACAAATATTTTTTAAAAACTAGCCTTTAAAAGTAGCACTGCCCAAATGAGTAACTTCTAGCACATCAACACCCTTCTCTGGATCTCTTTTCTTCTTTATAAGATTTGATTCTACCAAAGTGTCAACAGAATGCTCCAGATCTTCAGCACTTCCTCCCATATCCTTGTTCTGGACAGAATACAGTGTGTGATCAAAGAAGTGCTGTACTTCATTCAGAGTTTTGGTAACCTGTAAAAAATATGTAGCTGACTATCCCAGAAATCTCCATGGACCTTGTACGGTCACGTAAACAGTGGAACGAAGCTTGAAAATATCTGAAATTCCATCTTATATGTATATATTTTTAACAGTATTATCCAATGTTCATAACACTTTTCAACCAAATACAAGCAGACATAGCCTAGACTTAGTTTTATATGATATTTTATTCATGAACTTTGGAACCTGGGCAGCTATCATTGGTGGTGCCAGTTTTAATAATTGCTGCAATCTATTAAAACATTGTTTACATATGGTTGTTTACAGATTCTACTGCTTGAAATCTTCTAATTACTTAGCTTTGTAACAGTTTAGAAAATCAATAAACTTTGGTCTTTCTGTCATTTACTTTTAGAGGTACTGTCAGCTTCTTTGTACAACTTCTAAGCTCTGACTTTCTTCATTGATTTACCAAACAGTTTAACTCACAATGGCTATTTTAGTATTAAAATGTAGTTTCAAAATATGCCTCTACCAAAACTACAAGTCTTACCTCTTGTTCTTGCTAAAAATTACTTTCTCACTAAATGTCCAATTGTAATTTTATGTAAAATCACTTGACTGATCATGTTTTGTAATATAGTGTCTGATATCGACTGTGGAGAAGAGGGAAGATATAGTAGCAACAGAGGTTCTTTTTTTATGCATTTCACAACTGCTATGTTAATTTCAAACATTCTACTACACACGTATAGATATAGCAAAGGTAAATTTATACTATAAGTACATTTTATTACTGCCAACATACTGCAACTTCACAAGGTTGAAGTGTAAGACGATAACTTAAAGAATCTTTCCACTCATAATTGTAGAAGTTGCAGCAAAGAGAAGAAATCAGAGAATTTTTACATTTTTTTTTAAAAGTCTTGTGTAACATCTTTGCTCAAATCAGGAATGGGCGACAATTCTGAGCAAATGTTTTTACCAATGGATCCAGAAGAACTGTAATTTGTATGGATGGTTATTTGGTTATTCATTGCCAACTTTTCAACACACATTTACTAAACTTTATAAAATTATCCTAATTAAAGAGCATTTAGCATCACATGATATTAGTTTAAGCAATCAGCATAATGATGCTTGATACAGCTGTACTGATTGTATGGGGGTGATGACAAGAAACTGTTAATCTACATTCCATGGCATTACTATAAAGGAAGCTGTTAACACTGTTTTAAAGAGGAAAACTACCACCATATATTTTAAAGAATCTTGTTGGTTCTGTAAAGTAAAGGCCTGTTCCGAATAATGGGTTGCAATCCTCAAGCTAATGTGGGTTACTATCGAATGTCACTTTCTTACTTGCTGTGGTTTGTTGGCGTGTATTAACAAAAAGTCATGATATCTACTTAAAAACACTTTAGGTGTAAAAAAAAGTGCAGCCAAAAAAGAATGGAGTGTGTAACTTAAACTCGTGAAATCAAAATTGGCAGCCAAACTGGTAGCTACACTTATAATATTTATAAGAATTTTACAGTAAATATTCATTCATTAGTTAGCTAGGCTGCATATTTTGTTTTACCCACCATCATGCTCAAAGTTGATCAAAAAACTTGCCCTGGCTAACTAATG